CTTGCTGCCGCGTAGGAGCGAGCAGCAGACCGTTGTTTATTTGCCGCTTGTTTTTTTTTTTTTGCATTTGCCTATTTTTTTCCGAATGGCTGGTCGTTTTTTTTTTTTTAATTTATATATATTTATATATGTCTCCCTGCTTGTTGGATATTGTTGTTTTTTGTTTGTTTGTTCCCGTCTTCTTAACTTGTTTGCTGTCATCTCTTCTTTGCGCACACAAGAAAGAAGAGGAGGAATTAATAATAATAATAATCATTGCCGACGAGCACTGCGTGAATGATGCCTTCTTGTTTTTCTGCTTAATTCTACCGCTGTAAGCTTTCCGTCTTCGTTTGTGTGTGTGTATGTGTGTTTTGAACTGGTGGGCGGCGGATGTTGTTTGGAAGGCGACTTGCTGCCGCGCAGTGCAGTGCAGTGCGGGCGGGCAACTGAACTCCACAAGAGCAGCATCTCGCCCTTCCCCTGCGCCAAGGTTCCCCACCTCAGCGCGTTACGTCAGGCGCTGCCGCCATTCTGTTGTTGTTGTTGTTTTGTTTTGTTTTTTATTTATTTTTGTTTTTGTTTTTGGTTTCAGCTTGCTCCTATTATCTAACTCTACTGGTTTCGGGGCGGGTGGAGGCGCTGCTCCCTCGCGTGGGGCCTTTATCTCGCGCCTCCCGCACCCCTCTGTCTCTGCTAGCGCTTGCGTGCGTTGCCCGTTATCCCTGCGTCCCGTGACTCTTCTCTTCACATTTTTTTCTCTATTCGTCCTTTTTGGCTGTCGCGCCCTTCACTTTGTCTGTTTGTTTGTGTGCATGTGTGTGGTTGGCGCTGGTAAGTCGGTTCCAGATACCTTTCTTGAAGGCCTTGCCGAATACAAACACAGCAGCGAGACAATGTCCGAGACAAGAAGTGGTAACAGTGCTGAAGAGCAACCCCGCGTCGCCAGCCAAGACAATGAAAGCAACAACAACGCACCTGTCACCACTCCTGCTGCGGCGACAACATCTGTTTTTATCGGACTTGGCCCCGCCGCTTCCACCATTTCTGACGAAGCACTGCGCGAGCGCCTTGAGGAGGTGGCACCGGTGCTTGGCGTCCGCATCCGTGGCCGCTGCGCCTTTGCAGATGTGCCTGATCCGGAGGCCGCCGCCCGGCTTGTGTCAGAATTGAACGGTAAGCTCATTGGTGAGGCACGCATGGCAGTGCAGCTCAGCCGCAGTAAGGAGAAGGAGCGCCCCCCGGTCAACAACAATCACAACAAGAATGGAAATAACCCCGGCAGGACGTCGCTCTTTGTCGGTCTCGGTCCGGCTGGCGGCGCCATCTCTGACAAGGAGCTTCGCAACAAGCTGGAGGAGGTCGCCCCCATCACTGGGTTTAGGCGACGGGGGCAGTGCGCATTTGTTGACGTGGCAGACGTTGCGCAGGCATCGAGGATGATTGATGAACTCAACAATCAGTACATTGGCGACTGCCGCCTTTCGGTTCAGTACAGCCGCGACAACAAGACCTCCCGCTCCGGTGGTCGCATGGAGAAGCGTAGCCGCAGCCCTATTCGTCGTGGTCATCACCACCGTAGCCGTAGAAGTGATAGCCCCGACCGCCGCCGCTGTCGTCGGCGCAAAAGCCGCAGCTACAGCAGTCGCTCCAGCTCTAGCCGCAGAAGCAGCTACTACTCGGATGACAGCCGTGATCGCCACCGACACGACAAACGGGACCGACGACGCCGGGAACGCAGCCGCAGTTATAGTAGCCGATCGCGATCGAGCAGTCCCGCCTACCGCAAGCGTCGTGACTGAAACAAAATGAAAGGAAGGACGGGGAAAAACCGAGAGAAGCAACGTTCATTCACACGGCAACCGTGCAGAAAACAAGAGGGGGGTGGGGTGGGGGGTGTGACAGCGGCAAAAGGAAAATGAATTAACAGATAAAACGACAAGAACAAGCAAACAAATATACGGGCAACCTTCTCTACGAGATATGAATGGGTCAGTAACAAGGCGGAATTGAAGAAGGGAAATACGATGGGCTGAAGAGGTGACATGGTGGAAAATGCAGCAAGAAGCCCTCAAAAACAACAACAAGGTGGAGATTTCTTACCAAGTGCAGTTTTTTTTTGCCTCCTGTATAAGTGAACCTTTTCATTCGCATGGTTTTTTTTTTCATTTTTTTCCCCCTTTTTTTGCCCCTCCACCTTGGCTATTGAAGACTCAGGCAAAAACATTTCCGCGGTGGTTGGGGTTGTGAGGGCGTACCCCGTACATATGTACGCATAACACGCATTTCTTCCGCTGGAAATAGGATTGAGACATGTGCGTGTGCGTGTGTGTGTGTGTTTGGTGAAACCGGTGTGTGTGTGTGGGTGGGGGGT